GTTATCTTCCCTGGACAATTTAGCTAATGCGAACAATCCCGATGACTTTGCGATAACAAATCAATATACAGATAAGATAACTCGTCATTTGTTGCTGAGAAAAGGTGTATATCCTTACGATTATATGGATGATTGGGCTAGATTCGAAGAAACTGAATTACCACCCCTCGAATCATTCTATAGTAACTTAACGGAATCTAGAATAACAGATGCCGATTATGAACACGCTCTGACGGTGTGGGATAAATTAGGTTGTAAGAATTTAGGCGATTATCACGATCTGTACTTAAAAACCGATGTACTGTTACTCGCCGATATATTCGAGATATTTAGAAAGACATGTTTAAAACAATACGGCTTGGTCCCGGCATGGTACTATTCCAGTCCCGGACTATCGTGGGATGCATTGTTGAAGAAGACCGGCGTAGAACTAAAATTACTCACAGATTATGATATGCACTTGTTTATTGAGAAAGGATTAAGAGGTGGTATATCGATGGCAGCGAAAAGGTATTCTAAGGCTAATAATAAATTAGTGGAAGGATACGATCCGAGTAAACCCGACACTCACATATTATATCTCGACGCTAACAATTTGTACGGATGGGCTATGAGTCAACCTTTACCCACGGGTGGTTTTGAATGGGTCGATGATATCGATAATATCCATAATAATGATGAGAATAAAGGGTACATACTAGAAGTTGACTTGGAATATCCAAATTCCTTACATAAAGACCATAACAGTTATCTGCTAGCTCCCGAAAGATTAATGGTTAATAAAGATTGGATGTCGGAATATCAACGCTCCTTGATGGGTAATAGTAGGTTAGCTAACGTAGAAAAACTCGTACCAAATTTGATGGATAAAACAAAATATATAGTTCACTACAGAAATCTCCAGTTGTATCTATCGTTAGGTATGAAACTTAAGAAAATACACAGAGTTCTAAAGTTTGATCAAAGCCCTTGGATGGAGCCCTATATTAGGTTGAACACAGATTTAAGAAAGATAGCTACCAGCGATTTCGAAAAGAATCTGTATAAGCTCATGAATAACTCAGTATTTGGTAAAACTATGGAGAATCTAAGGAAGCGTGTTGATGTTAAATTAGTCAGATCAAATGAGGAAGAAAGACTCAGGAAACTTATAGCCAGTCCGGCTTTTAACAGAAGCAAGATATTCGATAACGACTTAGCCGCGTTGCATATGCAGAAGAGTAATATAGAATTCAACACACCGGTGTACGTCGGTATGAGTATTCTCGACTTGTCAAAACACTTAATGTATGACTTTTATTACAACGAACTTAAGAAGCAATACGGCGATAGATGCGAGGTGTTATATACCGACACAGATTCTTTGTTGATGGAAATACAAACCGAGGATGTGTATAAAGATATGGCAGAAAAAATAGATATGTACGACACGAGCGATTACCCAAAAGACAATCCACTGCACAGCGTAGTAAATAAAAAGGTATTAGGTAAGATGAAGGATGAATGTGCTGGGACCCCTATAGCGGAGTACGTAGGATTAAGACCTAAGATGTATTCTATAAAAAAAGTCCGATAATGGAGAGATAAGAAAAGCTAAGGGCGTTAAGAAGTATGTTGTAAAAAAGCATATCAAACACGAACAGTATAAAGAATCATTATTCAACGGTAGAACGTTCAAACACGTGATGAACTCTTTAAGAAGTTACAATCACAGGATATATGGATTAAGAATGAACAAGACATCATTATCCCCCTTAGATCCAAAGAGATGGATTGATCATGATGGTGTAACTACCTATGCTTATGGTTATGGTGGTAATACCGTACCGTCGGGAACTATGAACAACTCTTCTCGTACAAATGCCCTACCCGGTCCATCTTGAAGATAATAAAGAATAGGCTCTCCTTCTTTCGTAACCAATCGACTAATGTTATACGTCTTAAGAGACCATATGGGATCGGTTGCGCGACGTAGGCCTCCTTCGAGTTCACCGGTCTGGTATAAATATCTTACCCTTACTCTATCCGGAAGTTTTCGTTCTTTGCCTCTCCTCGGTGCTGAAGATTCGGAAGTCACGGATTTCATTTTAATAGCATCGGATGGTTTCTTCCCTATTAATCTCGTCACTTCATTTTTCAGCGCTGATACAACGGCTGATAATCGTGTCACCCATTCGGTTGATCTCAATCGTTCCGATTTCATTTCGATCCCATACTGATAGCCAAACAAACGTTCTGCTAATGTCCTGTTAAATCTTTCGACGATAGCTTGACTTCGGTGGGCCTCTCTTTCACCATGGACGATTTCGACATCGTGCTTTGTTAACAGTTTAGTTACCGATCCCATAAACTCGCGACCGGGATCTACTTGAAATAGCTTTGGCCATTTTAGTGGTCCGCGTTTATATATGCGACTCAGTGCATTAGCTACTTCTGTTGATTCTTTCGAGGTTAATGGCTCAGCCTCTTTGTATCGACTAGCCACATCCACTACTGTTAAAGCGTATTTATACGTTTTGCGTTTTACCTTATCGTGGGGAAGAAACAAGAGGTCAGCCTGATGAACTTGATTCATTGTAAAAATATCAAACTTCTTCCTCGGTATATAACGCGGTGCCGGTAAATATATTTGCCACATCGCTTGTTTCTTTAACCAATCCTTGGCCACATCCTTAGATACCTTAGCCGCAGTGGCTAATTTTTTTATTTCTCCTACACCTTTCCAATATCCTCGTGGGCTATAGTAAATTTTATCCATTATTAATTAATATTGATGTTTCGTTTAATACAACTCATGACTATCGTTGAATCGCATCATAATTTTGGCATAAAAAATGCCACCTGTAGTAGCAGTATAGGTACATAAATCCGGCTCCAGTGGAAGTGGTCCTGAACCATCATTACCTATAAAAAATTATATCATTGGCTCCAGGTGGTGATCAATTTAACTTAATTTTATGACTATCGTTGAATCACATAGTCATCTTGGCATAAAAAATCCCCCCTGTAGTAGCAGTATAGGTATATGAATCTGGCTCCAGTGGAAGTGGTCCAGAACCATCATTACCTATACTACTACATGTGATTTGAAGCATGTCTGTCGAATGCAAATACCTATATATTAATCATTTTTGTAGGAATGCATGTGATGCACTTCGCATTGTTATCAACGTTAACTGTGTGACCACACTAATCAGGACGTTCCTCCATGCATGTACATGGTGTGTGTTTTTAACCCAAGTACATATTACATACATCAACGCCTAAATAAACTCAACAACAAAAGTTCCTGTGACGCCAACATTTTATTGTATTTTTCAAACAAGTAAAGTTTGGTTTTCAATATTGTAGTACATGTATGGAATCAAGTCACAAAAACGCAACTGCTACAGAAAAGCATGCATTCCATGAAAAAGAATGGGTATAAAAACATGTGCGTTAACGGGATTTCCATATGCATTGTTTAGCATCGTGCTTACAACAACCACTCAGAAAAACAACAAAATTACGCAATTATTCAACATTACGAAATGCCACGCATGTCCGAAAATGAGCGTCTGCGAGCCATTTATATGCTTTAAGCAGGATCGAGTGAACGTGATGTTGCAAGACATTTTAACGTCCACAGAAACACCATTTGGTGTTTATGGCAACGTTGGCGACAGACAAATGCAGTGAGATCATCCTCGGAGTCGCAGGCCACGCGTAACCAATAATCGACAAGACAACTGGATTCGAACAACACATCTACGAAATTGATTCCAGCCAGCAACAGTCACTGTTAGAAGCATCCCTGGCCTTCGACGAATATCTTCACAAATCGTACGTCGCCGCCTCAGATGTGCAGGGATTCTCACAAGAAGACTCGCCAGACGTCCCATTTTGACAGAAACCACCGTGAAGCACGTCTACAGTGGTACACTGCAGTGGGGACAGGTTCTTTTCACTGACGAGTCTCGTTTTCACCTCAGCCACAGCGATGGACGGATTCGAGTGTACCGACGTCGAGGTGAACATTGCGTCAATCATTGGGTCATGGAAGAAGATTGGTTCGGGGGCGGCGGCATCATGGTATGGGGTGGGATTACAGCAAGACAGAGGACCTGTTTGATAGTGGTAGAGGGAAATCTCGATGGACAGCGCTACCGCGACGAGATCATCGGCCCTGTTGTTTTACCGTTTTTGCGTCGTCATGGCCCAGGCATTACCTTTCAACATGACAGCGTCCGGCCTCATATTGCTCGACTCTCTTCAACAAAACAACGTGAATGTCATCCCCTGGCCGGCTCGCTCCCCTGATCTCTCACATGTGGGATGAGATGGATCGGCGCCTTCGACCTCAACCATGTGTTCCACAGACACTCCAGGAACTTCGAAACATGCTCAAGCAGATATGGACAGATATCCCACAGGACTTTGTGCGACGCCTGGTCCATTCCATGAGATGAAGATGTGTTGATTGCATCGCAACCAGAGGTGGGCACACACGCTATTGTTTGTAAATTGACATTTTGGCATGTTCATTTTTTATGAAATCACGCATTTTCTGAATTGTTTCAGATTTGGTAAAACAAATAACTTTGTATTAAATCTTATTCAATGTCAAAGGAACTTTTTTTGTTCAGTATAAATTGAAATTTCCTAATTAGTGCCATAAAACAGTAGTTTTCGCAGAAATCCGCGCGTATCCAAATTCGCGACTTATTTGCAACTTATACACGAAATATTCGCAAACTGATCTGAGTCCTACATAAAAGAAAGGCTCCCAGAAAATATCTTCATTTCGGACTAGAATGAGAAATCCCAATACCCATTGATCAAAGCCCCTAAAACAACAGTTGAGGGATAGTGTGCTATCATGGCCGCAGTACGTCGTATTCCAAGAAGCGTGATTGGTTTATGTTCAAGATTTGGATCCTTCACTCCAGTGTTTAGGTGATGAAATTGAGAGACACAAGATTCAGCTAAACACAGTACACTTTTCTGCATGTGACACATACCTTGTTCACAGACAGCTTTTCCAGATCCAGTCTCCGAACATCGGGAAGGTGGATTGCAGACCTTAGATGAACAGGGTTGAACCGGGACCTTCAGACAGCAATAGAAAGAACCTTGTGAGACTCTATGTATATGTCTTAGTTCTTCGTGTAGGGGTCCATATATTTGAAAGGGTTTCGTAAATAATAGGAAGTAATAACAAACATAAATGTATATAAATAATATATACGTTTAAGTTTCCTTCTGTATTGGAAGTCACAGGCACTTGTACATATAAGGAACATAATTAATAATAACAGGAAGAAAAGCACATTTGTGATAATTATTGAAGTCCTTGATCGGCATTTTTTGGTTTGACAACAATGACGATTTTGATAAGCGTAGATGTGGCTGCATTTATAAGTATACACAATTAACCAAATGCTGCTGCACCGGAACATCTGAAACAATGTACAGTGGCATCGACTGAGAGACCGAGAAACGAACATAGTATCTCCATAATTCGGACCCATAAAGGACAAGTGGTTATATTTTAGTATCAAACAATTAAAACTCTATATTAACTGTCATGTTAACAAATTTAAATTCCATTTATGTAACAGCAGAGGTATATCTGTAAATATACACTCATCAAAAAAAAGAAATGCACAGATAGATATATTTCATTCAATATCATAGATACAGATATGAAATTTGGCACCTCGATAGTCACATTGACAACTGTTCATTGTCATGTCACATAAAGCCAGAAGGTTGCGCAGAACTCGTGTGACTGCCCCAGGCAGAAATCACGGCTCTACATCTCCGCGGTACTGACTGGATAAGTGTACGAATTCTGTATGTACACGTTGATCGAGTTCATCCCAGAGGTGATTGGGTTGAAATTTGGCGATCTCGACGGCCAGGGCAAAACGTTGAAGTTGGCATTGTGTAGGTAGTCTTCAGTGACACGAGCTGTGTGCGCTGAAGCGTTGTCCTATTGAAACAGCTCCCTCTGGCGGTCAATGATTGGAAGAATTCATGTAGCTGTTGATGTCAAATATCCCTCAACCACAACCAAGTCAGATCTTGTGGTGTAGGGTATGGCCCCCAACACCATGACACAACCGCCAACGAAATTGTCGAATTCACGTACTAAATGTTGGGCAAAACGCTCATTTCAACGACGACAAACACATTGTCTTCCATCTCACCGGTGAAGCAGAAATCATGATTCATCACTAAACCACACCCGTCTCCAGTTTCTCTTATTCTAAGGCTGTAAGGTATTGCACCAACACAATCGTCGCTGTCGATGGATCTGTTGAAAAATAGGGACGATAACTGGTCTACTGAATCGGATTCCAGCCTGGCGAAGATGGTTCCTGACAGTCTGTTCCGATATCCTCCTCAAACAGGGGATGCGTCCTGCAGTCTTCGTAGCCGTGGCATTGCGATGACGTCGGTGGAACAGTCGAATGTAGCGATTCTGTGCAGGGGTGGTAAAACTTGGTCGGCCGGTTCTCGGACGGTCTGCAGTGGACTTGAAATGTGAGTATCGGTCCCAAAGGTGGCAAATGTTGCTGTGGTGGACGTTGAAGTGACGTGCAACAGAAGACTGCGATTCCCCTCTTTGGATACGTCCGTTGGTGATGTTCTGTTCGGCATCGCTTAGTCTTAGGATTTTCGAACTTGAAAAATGTTGACAATTGAATGACAATTTATTGGCTTATGCTTGCCTTTTTATAGCCACTTCCGCGATTTACGAATGCCATAACCTGCACGTGCAACTTTACTGTTTTCCTCCATAACATTTTTTAAAAGGTGTGAAAACAATGCCGTTTGTCGAATATCAGGCCATAAACAGTTTCAAATAACATATACACAAAGAAAAAACAGTAGGCACACCCTTATTTCTGACCCATGACAAATGGCAAAAATCATGGCATGGGATGACTGACCACAGGAGCTGGGCGATGCCAATGTCGTCGGATAGATCAAACATTTGACAACATATAAAGAAGATATTGGTGAGTTTTAATTGAAAATTACTCCCTGGAGCTGCAGGAATAAGTAAACGAGTCACGTTTGATGTTTCATGTGAAAATGTTCCTAAAAGTCTCTATTTGACATGACACGTGAGTGAGTGAGTATGGTTTTACGCCGCTTTTAGCAATATTCCAGCAATATCACGGCGGAGGACACCAGAACAGAACATTGTACACATATCGGGAATCGAACACGGGTCTTCAGCGTGAATAGCGAACGCTTTAACCATTAGGCTACCCGACCGCCCCACATGACACGTGAGGTGAAATTGGGTTTAACGTCGCGTCCAAGATTATTGCACTTATATAGCGACGTGCATGCACGTGTATGTGTGTGTGTGGCTGCTTGTACTAGTCCGGACTGATGCCGATTTAATTTATAGTGCTAGCCCACTGAGATACCATGCCGCAGTTTAACATGAATACCCCACTCAGACACAGTATACTGACTCCGAGCCGATAGTCCTTGTTTTAGCCCCTTAATGCCGAGCGCCAGACAGGGTAACAACAAGTACAATCTTTTAACGTCTTTTTGTATGACGCGGCCTGGGATCGAACCCTGGACCTTCCGCTCTCCGGGCGGACGCTCTACCACAAGACCACGGAGGCGGTCTCACATGACACGTGAAATAGATCAGAAGCGTGTATAGCCACCACGTGCCTGGATGAGGCATTCGATCCTACGTCTCATGCCTCCACTTTGACGATGGATCTATGATGTTTTGTTACTGTGGTCACTGTCTCTCGTGTCCCAATGAAGGCGGCCACATTCCTGTCTGGCGTCACGGTATGTTTTGTTGCTGTGGTCACTGTCTCTCGTGTCCCAATGAAGGCGGCCACATTCCTGTCTGGCGTCACGGTATGTTTTGTTACTGTGGTCTCTGTCTCTCGTGTCCTAATGAAGGCGGCCACATTCCTGTCTGGCGTCACGGTATGTTTTGTTACTGTGGTCACTGTCTCTCGTGTCCTAATGAAGGCGGCCACATTCCTGTCTGGCGTCACGGTATGTTTTGTTACTGTGGTCACTGTCTCTCGTGTCCCAATGAAGGCGGCCACATTCCTGTCTGGCGTCACGTTATGTTCTGTTACTGTGGTCACTGTCTCTCGTGTCCTAATGAAGGTCGCCACATTACTGGCTGGCGTCACGTTATGTTCTGTTACTGTGGTCACTGTCTCTCGTGTCCCAATGAAGGCGGCCACATTCCTGTCTGGCGTCACGTTATGTTCTGTTATTGTTGTCACTGTCCCCAGTGTCCCAATGAAGGCGGCCACATTCCTGTCTTGCGTCACGGTATGTTCTGTTATTGTTGTCACTGTCCCCAGTGTCCCAATGAAGGCGGCCACATTCCTGTTTGGCGTCACGTTATGTTCTGTTATAGTTGTGACTGTGCCCCGTGTCCCAATGAAGGCGCCACATTCCTGTCTGGCGTCACGGTATGTTTTGTTACTGTGGTCACTGTCTCTCGTGTCCTAATGAAGGCGGCCACATTCCTGTCTGGCGTCACGGTATGATCTGTTATTGTTGTCACTGTCCCCCGTGTCCCAATGAAGGCGGCCACATTCCTGTCTGGCGTCACGTTATGTTCTGTTATTGTTGTCACTGTCCTCGTGTCCTAATGAAGGCGGCCACATTCCTGTCTGGCGCCACGTTATGTTCTGTTATTTTTGTCACTGTCTCTCGTGTCCCAATGACGGCGCCACATTCCTGTCTGGCGTCACGGTATGTTTTGTTACTGCGGTCACTGTCTCTCGTGTCCTAATGAAGGCGGCCACATTCCTGTCTGGCGTCACGGTATGTTCTGTTATTGTTGTCACTGTCCCCAGTGTCCCAATGAAGGCGGCCACATTCCTGTCTGGCGTCACGTTATGTTCTGTTATTGTTGTCACTGTCCCCAGTGTCCTAATGAAGGCGGCCACATTCCTGACTGGCGTCACGGTATGTTCTGTTATTGTTGTCACTGTCCCAAGTGTACTAATGAAGGCGGCCACATTCCTGTCTGGCGCCACGTTATGTTCAGTTATTGTTGTCACTGTCTCTCGTGTCCTAATGAAGGCGGCCACATTCCTGTTTGGCGTCATGTTATGTTCTGTTATTGTTGTCACTGTCCCCCGTGTCCCAATGAGGGCGGCCACATTCCTGTCTGGCGTCACGTTATGTTCTGTTATTGTTGTCACTGTCCTCGTGTCCTAATGAAGGCGGCCACATTCCTGTCTGGCGCCACGTTATGTTCTGTTATTTTTGTCAATGTCTCTCGTGTCCCAATGAAGGCGGCCACATTCCTGTTTGGCGTCATGTTATGTTCTGTTATTGTTGTCACTGTCCCCAGTGCCCTAATGAAGGCGGCCACATTCCTGTTTGGCGTCAGGTTATGTTCTGTTATTGTTGTCACTGTCTCTCGTGTCCTAATGAAGGCGGCTATATTCCTGTTTGGCGTCACGTTATGTTCTGTTATTGTTGTCACTGTCCTCGTGTCCTAATGAAGGCGGCCACATTCCTGTCTGGCGCCACGTTATGTTCTGTTATTTTTGTCACTGTCTATCGTGTCCCAATAAAGGCGGCCACATTCCTGTTTGGCGTCACGTTATGTTCTGTTATTGTTGTCACTGTCCCCAGTGTACTAATGAAGGCGGCGATATTCCTGTTTGGCGTCAGGTTATGTTCTGTTATTGTTGTCACTGTCCTCGTGTCCTAATGAAGGCGGCCACATTCCTTTGCCGTGTCATGTGATTCTTATGTGGTGTCATGCACTGTTTTGTTGCTGTTGAAATTTACTTCTGTGTCCTAATGAGGACGGCCACATTGCTTTGCGGTGTCACATGATGTTCTGATACCTTTGCCACTGTCTCCCGTGTCCTTATGAAGAAACACACATACCGATGTGGTGTCACGTGATTTTCTGTTATCTTTGCCAATGTCTCCCGTGTCCTAATGAGGACGACCAAATTCCTATGTGGTGTCACGTGATGTTCAGTTATATCTGTCACGTTCTTCCGTGTCCTAATGAGGATTGGCACATTCCTATGTGGTGTCACGTGATGTTCAGTTTATCTGTCGCTTTCTTC